GTTTACCACAATCATATTTCATTCTTGCCTATGGTAGCCCAGAAGGGACGTAACGCTGTTTTTAATACAGACCCAGTTAAGTCCATGAAAAGCCTAGTTTATTATTTGTTTGGCAAGATTGGAGAAAAAAACAAACTGCTGTATTTCCCTTCAGGACAGAGACTTTGAGTCCCTAAAAAGAAAAACAACAGATTTTGAAATAGCTTTTGAGCCTGTTGTTCATTATTTTATCACACAAAACTCAAATGTGTGACCAAGAGAATTCGTGAATGTCTCTTAAGCTACGTTGTCTACTTGTTTTCTCATGTAGTCTTATCTGATGTATGTATATCTTTGTCCTCTTTACACATTTATGAACGTGTGTATGAGACCAGCTCTCTCAAACGCAAGACAAATTTACCAGATACAATCAAGAAAACCTGACCTGACTCGACCTACCAGAATAAGTATCAATAAACTGTATTTTTCAACAGATTTTAGTTTGACCTCGCGAGACTCAAATGTTTTTCAATCAATGTTTGAGCTAAGCAATGCAAGGCCAGTAAAACAATTGCATTAACCGGTTTCACCTCGCATCAAAAAGGTACTGCAAGGTCTTATGTGTGGGCGGGTTATCTACCGTACATGTGCGCCAGTTTCCCCCATCAACAAATACACATGGCCATAGGCTAATCCTCCAGCTATGTACTGACAAAACCTAAAGCTCAGGATTGGAGATGGTCCCATTGGAGCTGCCATATTTTCTCCCACTGCTACTATCGCTCTGGCTCCACTCAAGGACAACCCAACCTCACAGGACAAATTAGCATGAATTTTGCCAATTATGTAAGCTGCAGTTATTTTGGTGAACTGCGATTATTGCAGTCTTATTAGTGGTTACATCACGATGATCTGATTTCTTTGATGTTTCTGTCTTTTTTTATGTATATGGACCTTTTGATGAATATGGACCTACCGCTGGGTCTTTATCCCCACCACTGTCAGACTGTGCAATAAGTCAATTTAAGTCACTAAAGCGGCGTTCAGACCGAATCATGGCCACCGCTGGCCAGCGTCGACGGTGTGAAAGCAGCGTAATGCACTAGGACTGAAAAAAACCTGCACTGCTATTGCCACTCTTTCTATTATTTTTTAATATATATTTTTTATTGCAAATATATAGTCTGTGCTGGATTTCCTTAATACGGCACAGACTATATTGCATGCTAGCTTAGGTTCAAATTAGCGTCTTCTGCATTCGTCAAACACTATAGTGACTTCAGCTCTTGGTCAGTCCACACCTTATATACAGTCTATGGGAAATAGTCTCACAATACCGTTAAAGGATACAAACGCATAATGGGTCAATAGTCTAATGATTACCAGTGACCAAACAAGTCACACACATACAGTCATGTATGTGGCTTCTCAATTGGAAATATACAAGCAATGGTACGAGTCTTTAGATTTCATGCGTTCTAACCCTGAGCGCGAGAAGGCGATGCAACTTAACCTTAAGCACTTTCTATATAGCCTTTCTTTCTCTCGCTATGAACCCTTGTCCCTATTGGATTGTTGATTCACACGTTAACTGTAGCCTGACCTTGTGTTCCTGGCTGCACATAAAAATAGTGCTTTCATTACTACCTTTTAGAAAAACATACCAGTTGTGTTGGCGCTCGATTCTCCCTTCTACATCACTGCAGACAAGCCTTAACCTCTTTGAAAACACTGGGAAAAATCCAAATGACAAACCTGCTGCAATCCTGTAAAAATATTACACGTTGAAGTTTGACCTCTACAACACAGGTCCAACAAACTTGACAGGAAGAGAACCATTCTGACAGGTCCATGTCATATTTGCTGTAAAATAGCTATCTTGGCAGCTGACGCGCATAGCCGATATACGTACACACCGGCATGGCACATCTAAAATTGGATTATTTTGAAGAATCTATTAGTGTGCCGTCTAACGAGGTAAACCGCAAAACAAGCGCAGGCCCCAACCACATGCGTAGGCTACTTAGTCACCCGGGCTGCTGGTTTGAACGGATGTTATTATTAAGGACCCTGACAGCGCTTCCACCAATTATAGAAGAGCAGCCAGCAGCCAGAGCCAGAGCCAGAGCCAGGGCCGGCCACATAGTCACATTGTGGAGAGTGTGCTCATGAAGCGTGACACTGTTTCCACACACCAATTACAGTCAGACGGAGCTACGGCGGCCCAGTGGCTTGGCACTCAGCCACACTATAAGCACCAGTATCGATTGGCGGTGAGACGCCCGAAAACAGTGAGGAGGGTGAGAGAATGCGGAATACAAAAAAATAAATAAAACAAGGGCTTAACAGTTACAGTCAACACCGGGGATGTGTGCGAGCGTTGCTAAAGACGTGTTTTGGGCAAAATAAAGTTGAGATGGCTGCAAAACACTTAAACTGGGAGAGGAAAACAGGAGGCAGAATAGGTAAATGTTTTGGTGTGCTCTAATGATTTGCAAAATGTGTATTAAGCTTGCAACAATAGGAGGAAGGGGGTGTATCTTGAGTTGAGGGGGTTAGATAGATAGATAGATAGATACTGTAGATAGACAGATACTTTATTGATCCCCTGTAGAAAAAATTAAGGATCAGGGTGGGGGGGGGGGGGGGGGGGGGGTCTTGACACTGCTCCTGGTGAGAACCCTGACGGCCCTCACATTCAACATGAAATTAAACAAAAAGATCTACTTTATTGATCTCACAATGGAGATATTCAGCAGACTAAGTTCAGGAACCAGCTGCTAGATGGTTTGATTCATCTTTCGCACCTATGCATAAATTCCAGTGTAAATAACCTTATGATCATGTTAATATTCTATACTGATACAACAACACTCTATGCTTTGTTTTTCATTCTAGTTCATCTTCTGCTTCATAATCTGCAAACTCAATTTATTACGCTGATAACGGAAAAGGCCTTGCTACTTGTGGAATGTCAAGCATTGTCGATTTTAAGTGCAACGTAGAAGAGAGGAACATGCTTGGTATTTATAGACTGAACACAACACACATATGCCAAAATACCAACGGATGAGACATACTTAAATTTCTGCAATGCGCAACAAAATACCTAGCATTTCTTTTCATCAATGTTGCACTTAAAATTGACAGGGCTCGACTTTCTACAAGAGGCAACACATTATATGACATCTGACTTTAAGTTGTACAAATGAATAGAAAATGCTGCAATGGGCGTGTGAAGTTTTCGCTGGAGTAAGGGTTTTGTAGCAGAGTCTGAATCCGAAAGTGTTTGTGTTTAGAAGCAAACAACACGGATGAAAGTGACAGGCCTCCTTCATTCAGGCTTTGTATATCCTCCGCGCTGTCTCTTCTGATCCAGCTAATTATCACAGTTTGACAGTGTCGGAGAGGAGGAAGCACTCAGGGTCAGGTCGTGAGACAAGGCAAGAGGAAAAATCGTTTCAGCAGCAATGAAAGAAGACAGGAGAAGCTCGGAGCCGAGTTTTAAAGGGAGCTTTTACAGACAATTCACCTAATGAGGATGTATGGCTTTAAGTATACTTGGAGGGTTTACATCTCCTCTATATGAGCCAAAAGGTTTCTGCTTTCTGTGCTTTTGGAAAAGAACTTGACTATATGGATATGCTGAAGGGCACTTCATAATCATTTTGATAATGGGTTGTATTAGATTATAATTCTTGATTTAATTACAATTTTCATGATACATTTTCTTTTGTGAGCTTGAATCTTTCACTGGCCTGAAGATGCTTGTTTGTATAAAACCTTGAATCTCGCAATCGCCAATGAATGAGGTAAGAACATTCTCTTACAACTCTGAAAATAAGAAAGTACGTGTTGAAAGAAACTAGTCAAAACATTCAAATATGGAGAAAAATCCTGAAATGAATGTTATCTGCACTTCACATATCTTACCAGTGCATAAAAATGATTTCCCAGTTGATAATCAAGAGAGAAGATGAATTAGGCAGAGAGCAGCAGAACATTTGCTTCACCCAAAGTGAAAGGAACAGATGGGCCTACAGACAATCAAGATCATAAAACCAGTCACAGCTGTCCTCGCTGCTAATGTTGACTCCCAAAGATATTTTTAGATGAAAAACAACAATCCTTCCAAGAAACGACAGAGTGTGTTTTTCACTGGCACGCAGCAGGAACGTTGTCTTATATTTACAATTATCTGGAAGTCGCGCAAACAACGACTGCTCCAAATGTCACATTCAAGTTTTTAAAGTTATTGATGGCTGAAGAAATAATGTAGAATGTATCACAGCTGGAGGGCAGCTGAGCATAATCACTCACTCTTATCTTTTTGTTGTAGGAATTCAATACATTTGCACCAGGATTTTAATTGCTGCAACTTCTTGATTAGCAGACTTTTCTGTCTGAAAACATAATCTGTGTGAACTCTCTCTTCATAGCAATTTCACTCGATTTCATAGCAAAGACCTAAAAGAGCTTCCATATAGGAATACAGGAGGATTTTCGCAAATTTTAGGAAAGCACCATCCTCTCCACTTTTTGAACAAAACTCTCTGGCCTTATTTGCATGAATCACCAGAATGATTGACAATTGGGAGGACCAATAGTCTTGATGATCCACCGACTATACAGATGTATACAGATGTACACATTTGCAGTTTTGGATATTGTATATTGAGAAAAGTCTGCACAATTATATAGGCTAATCTAAATACCTCTCCCAAAAGTATAATTCAAGCCCTTTTCTGGAAACATTTATTGAAGTTCAAATGTTTCAATTTCAATATTGCTCCAAAACAAATTATGAAAAGAAAGTATGCTGAAATATGAAAATAACAAATGGTTTGAGTCAAATTCCTGGTGCAAGGCTGTAAAATGTACAATTATTACTATTACTATTTAATCTGAACTCCATTTCAGCACACACACATACGCACACACGTACGCACACACGCATGCTTGAACGCACATATGTAAAAACTATACCTTCCCTCGAGCAGCACAGAGTAATGCGAACTTACAGCCAATAGTATCTGCAGCGAGGAGTGGGCCACCTCTATGAACTGGAAGTCCAGCAGACAGCCCGATATAGAGATGTAGCGGTGGTCCTCGGGGGCCCAGGACGGGGCAGGACTGATGGGCGTCACCTTGCACCCCGGCCCGTTCTCCATCCACCAGGAGCGGTGCATGGACAGGTTAAACGTCAGCACCAGGTCCGTGTCCTGTGAAGAGATGCAAATGATCGCATTAGCCGCTGAATTATAAGTGCAGACAAAAGAACGAGCCGGGCCAACAGTCACTGCAGCTTTTCTCCATCTTTAATTAAACGTGAACTCTGTGTCATAACCGAGCCCGAGCGTTGGAGAGGCGCGGGGGCTAAAAATACTTCACAGATTTATAATTTTAATGATTCGAGATAAGTCTGATTAGATCTTAATCACAGCATGCCGGGGTTTTAAGATTGAAGATGTGGGACAGGAGAAACTGCGAGGATCAAGTGATTTGTAAGGCTGAATAATATGAATGTAATGTTATATCTATCAAGAAATAGGTGGAAACTAAGGCGAAATACAATGTTTTTTTGCCAGCATGAAGTCTGAATAAATGATGTCGAACATGAAATCTCATGTCTTCAAAAATATGATAGACTTTTTGCAGTGCAGCCAGAACAGAAACGATAAAAGGACATAATGATTTTGTTGCTATGTACTGTAAGAAACTTTTGAGAATGGGGATAACCTGAAGGTATATACAGTAGGAAATAACCGCCCTCCTTAGAGAGAAATCAGAATCAGATTAATTTTTATTGCTATGTAAGTAAAAGGAAGTCACATACTGGGAAATTGCAAAAAATACCTCTCCCAAAAACATAATGTATGCCCTTTTCTGGAAAAAAATGTTCAAGTTCAAATGTTTTGACTTCATCCAGGAAAATCTCAATATTGCTCCAAAACAAATTATTGAAAGAAAGTATGCTGAAATGTGAAAATAACAAATGTTTTGAGACAAATTCCTGGTGCAAGGCTGCCAAATGTACAATTATTAATATTACTATTCATCTGAACTCCATTTCAACACGCACACACACACACATACATATGCATGTCTCTCATATCACCAGAATGTTTGACAATTAGGAGGACAAATAGTCAAGATGATCCACGGAAGAAGAAAACCCTCATATATACATTTAATACTGCTATTTATTTAGTGCAGCTCATGCTTATGGATATACTATGGCTGACTGAGATGTTTCTGTCATCATGTGTTCGTTTCCGTTTATCTTTAAAATATCACAATATAATACAGTGACAAGCCTAATTTCCCATTTGTATCCCGCTGCTATGAAATACGAGTGTTGTGAGTGAGTTTGGGCCTGACCGCTGCAGGTGCAATGCAGTTGGAGTGGAGTAAAGTCCTTCTTCAGAGATGCCCCCTCTTTTCTCCCCCCCTCTCTCAGTGTGATATTCGCCTTGGTGTAAATAATGCACATATTAACGGCTCCACTTAGCAAGGACGCACATAGATCATCTGAGAGACAGCTGGGCTAATGACACGCACACAAACCACCAAAGTGCGCGCACACTCATTCCAAACTTACTGGGCTGGAAATACAAGAGAAAGCCCATCTCTGTGAAGAATGGGCTTTCTTGTTCAACAGGCAAATGACTGGTTATTTTATGTTGTTTACCCTTTTAAGGTATATACAGTAATATACAGTATTTTAAACTTGCTTCTTTATTATGCTTAAGTCAGATGTTGTGCTTAATTCTTGCTTCTGTATTATGCTAAAGTTGGAGATTTTAGATTTGCTTCCTTATTATGCTCCTCTTTCCTACTGTTCTGTGACCGATGACAAATAAAGGATATCTCTTTTCCACCTGACCTGGCCTTGTTAGTAAAATACGCAACAAATGTAAAGTTGGTTGAATATAACTTATGGGTGGAAAAAAAATCTTCCCTGTTTATAACCCAGACAAGGTTAACTGCTCTTTTGAAGGTACTTTGTTGTCTCCTCTGCATCGTACCCATCCTTCAATGCCACGTGGGAAACCTGTCAGGAGCAGTGGTCGCTACAGTGCAGCACCCGGGGACCCATCTCCAGATGTTACTGCTGGGCTTGGTCAGGACCTTTGCTGGAGGATGTTTTTGAGTTCCCGAAAGAACAGGGAAAACTGTCAAATTACACACCGAAAGGCCCGGGTCGGCAAAGGAACGAACCGTGAGGCAGGAAAGCAAGCCACTCGTTCACTATGCTGCCAGCGGGAGTCCGAATGCAATGCACCCTCTCACTGTCTACACTACAGGATGTGTACAAGGGAAGAGAATCTAAACTCAACTCAATTTTGTCATAGCTCAAAAAAACGGTCAGACCACTCTCAATGGTGACTTTGCTTTAGCACACAAACTTTAGAAGTCTAAGAGGGAAATTTCTTGTTTACTTTGGGCATTTGACTTTCTACTGCAGCTGCACAAGTCATTCCGCAAACAAACGCAATGTGATTCCTAATTTTTCTCCACTGAACAAATCCAGAACTATGAAACACTTAAAGCAAGAGGCTGTATTTATTGCAACAATCAAAATGCCAGAGTTGCCTGTATATGTCTGCATTTTTACATTTGTAATTTGTAAGCATGGATTTTCCTCTGTATTTAAAAGTGTCTTCTTCCTTGTTTCTTTTGTATCAGGTTTATGTGGTCACATATTGGATTCATCAAGTTCAAAAAAGGTCCCAACCACATAATGTCAAAAACCCCATAATATATTTTACCAAAAATAACATGGCTGCAGTATAGAACTCATGGGTTGGTCTCGAATATTCAAAAGTTGCATTTCTTCTCTTATATTTTATTGCAGAACAGCGGGAGCCACATCAAACCCACCACTGTTTTCAAGAAAAATAAGGGCATAAATGTGGGCCAGCTGTTTTACGCCAGGTTTGTCTCTATATTTTTCTTTTTCCTGGACAAGAAATGATGTGTTAAAACACCAAAGCGACACAGAGGCAAAAATATGAAACTATTGTGGCAGCAATAAACCTGCGAGACTCCTGCCAGGTGAAATTGACGTTTTTGTCAATAGAGTCTGGTGGCTTTGAAGAGCGCTTCAGGGCTCCAATTCCCAGTTGGGGAAGACTGTTTGATGGCAAAGTAAAGCTGTGAAAATATTCTCAATATAGCCTTTCTCAAATTGATGTTTTTGAGAAAATGTTTGCTCCACTCAACATATACCCCATTTGTCTAGTATGACACTGACTGCCCTTTTAAAGAACAATCATTTATATCATTTTCTTAGTTACTGTAGTAAAATATAATAGTATAAAAGTATAATAGAACATTAATCATAGCGGAACATAATATATATCAATCAAACAACTTATATTTGAGGAGCGCCTTTCCTACACAACACAACACAAAGCGCCTCACAACCCGTATCACATCAGGCATCTATCATAAACAGTCAAGTCTACATAAGCATTAACATTACAATTAAAATCCCAACATGGCATTAAAAACACACAATAAGATCACCAGAAATATTAACAACATAAAAAAGTAATTCACACAAGTAATTAAACCATCATCTAATGGTAAAAGTGGGAAGTTTCATTCTGCTTACATAGTAAAATTGTGAAATGCCACAATATAATTTATTGAATTGAAGGCACACTACTCAGGAGGCTTTGGAACAGCCTTTATAGATGACTTTTAGTTTCACATCAAATAACTTTTTGTAAACAAATCACACATGCTGTTTGTTTGTTTTTTTTATCAAAGAGCTGATTGTTTGATAAAGGGCTGGTCTCTCTTTTTCTTTTGCACTGAAAAAATACACATGTGAACTAGTGATAGAACCAAACAGTATTGAAAGCTATATGAACGAATGACATGGATGTTTAGTGGCCCAGCTTCAAACACAGAAAACAGCATGTGTCTGGAGTCCGTAATATTAGCATGAATTGTTTTTTGTTTTTTATGAGGGAACAATGTTGTAGGGTGGTTAAAAACTCACAAGTGACTATTTTGCATAATATGTGTCCTTTAAATAAATGATATCGCTGCTTCGATGTCGGCTCCTCCTATCATCGTGAAGCAGAATTCACCAAGCGTTGGATTGTTCAGCCACTAATAGGAAACGTGAGCTGGGTTTAGACCGCCGTGAGCCAGGTTATAGTTTCACCGATGATGTGTTGTTGCAATAGTAATCTGACTTAACACATTTTTTGTACAGACATTTTTTGACTACAGACAATTTAGGTTAAAAATCATGTTAAAAAAAAACAAAAAAACAAATGCAACAATTTTACTTTTTTCCTCTAATGACATTCTTGGTCAGCTGTGCAGCAAATAGTCAATTAAAACGTGTTGCTGAGCTGGAAAAAGCTCTGAAACACGGTCACTATCTCAATGATCTGACCCGCCTGCTCTCACAAACTGCAATCACAATTATGCAGTCACAGATGAATAGTCTCATTATTCAGAAACAAAAGGGGAAATTAAACTCACTCGTAAAACTAGAGTCGTACATCTCACGCCTTCTCTCTGCTGCTTTGCCAATACGCTTGAACACAAGTAACTGAATGGACGTACTTAAGACTACAACCTTCAAATCCTCAGCTCTCATTGTGAAAGAAACTCCTAAAACGGCTAATTATCGAACAATGCGCTTCTTCTGTGCAAAGTTTGTGAACTTGGGGAGTTTCGCAATTATCAAAAATTATATGAAATTAGTGGCTTGTGTTGCTAATTATTTTGCAGCATGAAAGGGAGTTATACAGATTTTGAGGTTTAAAACATTGCTCTCACATGATTTAGATCCATCCATGCTAATATATATAGAAAGCAAAATATGTGTGATACAAAATACATCCCCTCTCAGTTTGTCTCTATTCTTTAATCCTATTTCGTCCAATTTGAAACGTGTCACAGTGATGAAAACTACATTTCTGAGTTAATTACCCGAGTTAATTACCATATTTACTAATGGGAAGTTGGAATCTCAGAGTTTCCAAGATTCCATGAACGCAGCACGAGTCCTGTAGAGGGGTGGGAACCTCAGGGAACCTCAGGGTACCTCACAATACGATACGATGTGTGATACAGAGCTCACGATAACAATTATCTCACGATATGACGAAGCAGCGATTTTCTATATATTGGTCAAAAAGATACCTACAATAATATTTTT